ATTGAAATTAAACAAGTAGTTAACAAGATAATCAATTAAGCTAATCAAATCAACTAATTAAGATCAACTAATATTAAGAAATTCAAAGTAATTTCAAATGCAAGCAAAAATTACAGTACAAAAGTATTAAATCTTACTAGAAAAGAATGCAAGAATTGAAAGGAAATCTTGAACCAAGCTTGAATTAATTGCAAATTTGAAAATCAAATGTTTAAATTACTTGCACTTTTTCTCTCTCTAATTAACCTGGAATCTGATTTTCTAAAATGAGTTAAAAACTTAGTTACAGATGTTGTATGGATATTCTATTTATAAAGAAGGGAAAGAAGAAGAAAAATAAAAGTAATATAAGGGAGTCATGGACGCACCTAAGCTAGCGCAGGCACGACTTCTAGGTTTGTCTTAGGCCAGCCTACCCATGTTGCACAACATCTCTACCCACACTGCACAAAAGCATCAAAGCAAGGGATCCAAGGGCGACGAGTACACCGCGGCCACAGCAGAAGCGATGCCTTATACAGGTTTTTTAGCCTTCAAAAGAAGCCTCACAACACGGACACACACATTCCTAATTGGCCACGTTTGCTCCCACGGCCAAGGCAAAAAGCTTAAACCTTGATAGTTAATCCTTCCATGCATCCATAAAGCAAACCAATGGCTTTCGTTCAACAAAGAACAAAGGGGGGGATTCTTGACATGTGTATTTTATATGCAATTTTATTCCCCGTCCCACAATCATTTTTATGCTTATTTGAGCTCTTCGGAGCTATTTTTGTTACTTATATATGGTTTATAATTTTTTTAGAGTTAGCATTTATTTTGTAGGAATTTTCGGTTCGGTGATTTCTAAGCTTTTTTTAGCCACTACGAGATATCAAAGCTAAGATCACAAGGATCACCGTTATATGTAGCCCAAGGTCCAAGATTTCGGTGGTTATGGGCTTAGTTCGTGAAAATGGTCCAAGTGTATGGACTAAGGAAAGGAGAGAAGATTGGGCTAATTGAAGATTCAAGCCTAAAGGAAGGGAACCGGCCATGGAAGAGCATGGGCCCGATCGAGCCATAGACTGCTCGACCGAACGGATGCCCAGTGAAAAAGCAAAGAAAAAAAAGAGGGCCCGATGGGCGCGTGCTTTTCTGAAGTCTTCTGCTATTAGTTATTTCTTTGTTTTTTGGGGATTAATATAAAAACCCTTATTTCAGCCTTGATTAGATACATTTTTAGATTGAGTTTTGATGTAAAGATTTTTAGAGAGCTTTTGGTTTTGGATCATTGTTGAACTCAAGGTTTCATTAATTCCAATTTCAGCATTTTCCTTCATTTAGTATTATTTTTATCTCTTTTATTGCTTTATTTAATTTGTTATTGACTTTAATTATGTTGAATTTAGTTGTTTTGATTAGTTTAGATTTAATTAAGTGCGAGTAATTTAATTCTAGGGTTCTTGGGGATCCATTATTTATATGAAGCTAGGGATCGAATGAATTATTTTGGTTGATTATTGACGTTGCATATTAATTTCTTGCTGAATTGTTTTAATTCTTTACAATTGGATTATGAATCAAGTAGATGTGATATGATTGTAAAAGTATACCAATAATGATTTGATAAAACGAGCAGATGTTATTTCGATATGAAAGGCTATTTTTAATAGAAATTTAGATCTAGTAATTTGCGAAAGCCTGTTAAATCTATTATTGATTGGTAAATTACGAGAGCCTGTTAATCATTCCAATTGCAATATCAATTGTTGATTGTTATGTTGTATCCCGGAGTATTAATTATTGGTGAGCCTATGACCCTAGGTTTATTATTATTATTATTATTATTATTATTATTATTATTATTATTATTATTATTATTATTATTATTATTATTGATTATTTCCCTAGTTTAATACATACAAACCCTACTCGTTTCTTGATAATTTAGATTATATTAATTAATTAGGAATAGAAGAACATTGTTTTCATGTGGATTCGAGCCTACTTCCCTATCTATTTTAGTTAGTGGTTTTAGGATTTAGTTTTGATTAGGTAATACGACTTTAGCCTATCAATTCTTAAACACCTAAAATCAAATATCAAAAGTAATTTAACAAAGAGTGAAAATATGAGAGAAAATTGACGAAATAGTGACAAAGCATTCACACCATTATTTCAACTAACACTCAAGCATGCAAAATACAAGAATTCTTTGAATAAAAAGGGATAAACTAAGCTAGAGCAAGCTAGAAATAATAAACTAGGAATCCATCAAATACTAACCAATCACGATGTGACTCATCTCCAATTTAACCTATTAAATATGTTACCAACATGTCACGTTCTATTTTAAGCAGATATACTCCAAAAGTGGTATTATTTTTGGATAATAAAAAGGTTGTTTTAATCTTGGAGGACTGACCAAAGGTCTATTACTCTTGACAATAATCTCTTCTAAAATTTAGGTTAACAATATTTAATTTGGTATAATCACGACTATTTAATTACATATAAGCTAACTTTTTTTCAACTCGTTAATAGTTTGCTTAATAGAGATTTTCATAAAAAAAATCACACGCTAATTGACAAACATGCCATTGCTTGTGCGCCTTTTAATACATAGCTAATTGATTAAATATGTTGGGTTTTTCCATTAATCCAATCAATGTGCAAAAACAAATCCTATGCACAAATCCTTGTATAATTCAATGGATTAATCATTGTTCATAAATTATATATTTGATGTGTTCTTTTTTATAAAAACAGAGCTTCGAACCTTATTTTTAATCCCTCCATCGCTGTTTACCAATACAAAGGAATTTGCGTTGAGTGTGCTTGCATAGAATCGAGATAGCCTTTTAGGTTATTGTTTTCAAGATATTTGACAAGGGTAGTATTTATATTAAAATACTCCTCCAACATATAACATATGAGTAATTGGAATGCCATCTACGTGTGAAAATTAAATCTCACACACATATGGAAACGACTTGCCAACACATAAACCCTAGCCTAGGTTCGTTGCACTTATGTAATAAAATTACTCACTATACAAAAGTTACTTTTCTAAACATATGTAGCCATACCATGTAGCTAGCCACATAAAAGATTTATTGTTTAATAATAAATTAAAATCAAGGTTTTTTTTTTTTTTTTTTTTTTTTTTTTGTTTTAGTTTTTATGCTTTTTCATTGTAATTTAATAAGCCAAAGATTAATTAATTTAAACTCATTGCACTTGTTCCAAGTTGGGTAAATAATAGGTCGTGTCGCCCTATAATTTCATGTTAGTTTCTAATTGGGTGAATAATGGGTGAGAGGGCTAAAAATCAACGAAAATCAGGTCATCAATAACACGTTTTATATTCAATTTTAGATTCCAATCAAGTTGGACGCTAGTTTTAGCTTTCAGGTCAAGTCAGATTGCTTGTCGGTAAATATCTGCTTGGGAACATGTTTAGATTCAATTCATATAATATCTTGTCAAACTAGACCTGATCAAGTTGAGCTCAACACGACCCAGGCCGATTTTGGGCAGTTTTTTTTCCGGCCTGACCCGATTTTTTAAAAATTTGTGCGGGCTTGGGGAATCCATTTTGTGTAATTTTAGTTTTTTTTTTTTGGCCCGGTCCGAAAAGCCAGCATGGCCCAGCTAGTTTGGGTGGGTTTGGGCGCATATATTTCGGCCTAAAGCTTAGCCCGACCCGAGGAATGGGCTGTTTTTTTTACCTCAATTTGATCCGATCCTAGCCCGATCCACACATTGATCACCTTTAGGTTAGATTATGGGTTAATATGTCTCAACTCTTAAATTATCCAAATACAAGTCAAGTTCAGATCAGTGTCGGTTCTTTTCTTTTCATTTTCAAATTTCATTCACCATTTGTTGTATGATGAGAATCTTCCATTTTAGGTTTGAGTTTTAATTTGTTTTCACGCATTTTATTCTCTTTTAGGGTTTTTTTCCTTCTCTTTTTTCGTTGTTCAACAATCTTTAATAATATTGTATATTTCAATAGCTAAATGAACAATTTGAGTACAAATTTCTGATTTTTTTCCATTGATAATTATAATTTATTAAGAGAATTATTGTTTGATTTTTTTCCTAATTTGTTGAAGATGCACTTTTTATTTTTATTTATTTATTTATCTTTGCTTATTTCAAGAAAATGATTAAATCAATCTAATTAAGCTATTCTTCTTGTTTACTATTGATTTAAACTAAACATGCATAAACAAAATAAATCTTCTCTATCAACCAACAACAATATAATTCAAATACAACCAAAATAAATTAATCCACTATCCAAACAAATATTATTTCTACCCATTTAATTAGAAATGGGCAAAATTTAATTTTTATGTGTCTAACTTATGCAAGTTGCACTCATTTAAGCCAAATGAGCAAATTTCACAACCAGTTGTACCTTGTGCTCTCTCTCTCTTTCTCTTTTTCCTTAGGGGTAAGGGAGGATCTTAACCGGACCTCAACCCTCAAGTTTGTTTGATCCACTATTTAGGGGTCATACACTTTGAGAATTGTCAGCAGTGCGAATTAAACCTCTAACTATAAAGTAAGAAGGTACATCTTTCTCATTGGATTAAATTTAGCTTGGTGGCTGTACTTTAGTACAACCGGTTGAATGATATATGAGCTAATAATGGTCTACCGTCTACACGCTAAAAAACACAGACCACAAAAAGTCACCAAACCGATTTAACAGTCCACACTCCAAAGTACTTCCTGACAACATATAATACTACAAAAACTACGAAAAACATTGCAACAACAACAATAGCGACTATAGTAGTAGTAGATAGATTTTGAAAGCTGTGTATTCACAACATTGTGTTAAGTGATGAGAGAGAAAGGAGACATCAAAGACAGTGACAGACAAATGCACACTTTAAAATAAAAATACTCACTCAAATTCATTTTTTAAAAACTAAAAAATAATTACAGTAAATTAAATGTAGTATTATACTTTTTAGAGAAAAATAAAATCTAATATGGGAAGTAACGAAATTTACTTAGAGAAAAAGATTCCTGCTTTACTAATTACTACACCTCTCCGGAATTGGAGGGAGGATTTACAGTTAAACAAATTAAAACCCAAATTTATCATCATTTCATTTTCAATTTTGACCCCAAAAAAATTCAATCATAATTAACTTTGAGCGCCAATTTAAAAAACCAAACCCTAGAGAGAGAAAGTTAACCAAATTTAGAGAGAGAAAGTTAGAAATTAGTATAGCTTAGCTAAGCTAGTAGTACTTCTTGTTCAATCATCACCACTACTCTTCCTCTTCATAAATTTTAATTATTGCAATCTTTTATAAAATTAATTAAAGATTTTATTACTTTTTAGATCTACTTACATACCCATTACTTCACCATATCTCACTTTCTCAATGTTCTTCCATTATTAGAAAGAGAGGATTTTTTGGGATACATACAGATTTGAGTGTCAAAAAGTCATAAATTCAAAAAAAGTGGGGACCCTTTTTCATTTTTTGGTATTTAATTGAGATGGGTATTCTTTAAATTGCATGTAAATGTGAATTCCTTTTCTGGGTATTTGAATTTTTTTTGTGAAGGTTGTGTTTGAAATGCAGATTTAATTGCTTTAATCATCAATTTGAAGACGGAAATTTGAAGGCGAAAATAGAGGGCAATGTCTGGAAGCAGTAGGTTGTATGATCCAAGCAAGCTGCATTTGAAGAGGGAGTTGACGCAAATTCGAAAGGCGGCACGAGTATTGCGTGATCCTGGTACAACATCCTCTTGGAAATCCCCTTTAAGTTCATCTAGATCTGTGGCCCCATCATTTTTCAATGTTAGTAATGATAATAATAGTCTTCACTTTCTTTATCATAATACTAATGGAAATGGTAATAATCATGAACATTTGACTGCTAGAAATGATGACAATGTTGTTGTTAGTCCACATTTTAAGCAAAGGGTTGAGGGTAATAATGACAATGATGGGGTTGAGAGGGAGATGGATAAAGCGAAGGCGAAAGAGAAGGATAGGAGGGTTTTTTTGTATAATTGGAGGAGTAATAGGTCGTTGAGTGAGAAGAGTTTAGGTAGGTTTGATTTGGAAGGGGGTGTTGGTGGTAATGTGAGGAAGAATGATGATGATAATAATGAGTATGTGAATGATGGATCTTCGGTTCATGGGAGTGTTGTTAGTGATAGTGTTGGTGATAGTTTGAGTGATGCTCGAAATGCTGGTGGTGATTCTAAGAGTGATACTTGTATAGGGGATCATCATCGTAGGGGTGGTCGACACCAACGGAATTATTCTACCACATTTAGATGCAGGGACACAAGGCTTGCTTCGATGGCGTCACCTACAAGGGTTAGGAGGGTTGTTGGTAAGAAGAAATCTAGGAAAGGTGCTTCTTCTGTTGTTTTAAGACACCAATTGCAAAAACAGACGCAGAAGAGACCACTTGGTGTAGGTGATAAGAACTCGAAATGGGCACTGAATGGTGGCCCTTCGACTCGTTTGGTTTTGAATCAGGATGATTCTGTTAGCCTAATTGATCAATCTGATGGCACAGAAGATTATTGTGCCTCTGATGAGTTGCGTCAAGTATCAGGTGAATCCCCTTTGCTTTCGAGGCTTAAGAAGAAGCATAGGCTTTTGCGAGGTAGTCGAAGGGATGACTCCTCATATACTCTTAGCACTCCTGCCTTGTCAACGAGCTCTTTTAACAGATTTATGCTGGCGAATTGCAAGAATCCTAGTACTGTGGGATCCTGGGATGGAACTACAACTTCTTTCAATGATGTAGATGATAACGAGGAGGATCATATAGATTTGCCAGGTCGTCAGGGATGTGGAATTCCATGCTATTGGTCAAAGAAGACACCCAAACATAAGGGAGATTGTAGAAGTTGCTATTCTCCTTCTATTTCTGATACTTTGAGGAGAAAAGGTGGTAAATTACTCTGCGGTAGCCAAAAAGATAATCATAAACAACCTGGATCTTTATCGTGGTCAAAGAAACAGAAGATCCATTCGCAGATGGCCAAAGGTCATCTTCCCTTGCTCAGTAATAGCTGTGATGGTGGAGGAGAATCATCTTTTGGAACAGTTAATAGTGATGATGAACTGTCTACAAATTTTGGAGAGCTCAATTTGGAAGGTTTGAGCCGGCTGGATGGGAGGAGGTGGTCGGCCAGCTATAGGAGTCAAGATGGTTCGGACTTCATTGCTGCCAGTGGGGAAGGTGAAGAGGAAAGCTCATCAGAAAATATTAGGAGCTTAAGTCAGAGATATCGGCCGATCTTTTTCGATGAATTGATTGGGCAAAATATTGTAGTCCAGTCCCTTATGAATTCTATATCAAAGGGAAGAGTTGCCCCTGTTTATCTGTTCCAAGGTCCTCGTGGTACTGGAAAAACATCATCTGCAAAAATTTTTGCAGCTGCATTGAACTGTTTGGCCACTGAGGGAACAAAACCCTGTGGAATCTGTAGGGATTGTTCTGATTTCATCTCTGGCAGGAGTAAGGATTTAGTGGAAGTTGATGGCTCAAATAATAAGGCAGTTGATCGAGTGCGACACCTTTTGAAAAGCTTGTTGACTGCACCCTCATCAGCTTCCCAACGGTACAAAATTTTATTAATTGATGAATGCCATATGCTCCCATCTAAGACTTGGTCAGCGTTTCTGAAGTTTCTTGAAGACCCACTGCCTCGAGTTGTATTCATATTTGTTACTACTGATCTTGAAAATGTGCCACGCACTGTGCTGTCACGATGTCAGAAGTATCTCTTCAACAAAATTAAAGATGGTGATATTGTTAGTAGACTAAGAAATATAGCAGCTGAAGAGAATCTCGAGGTTGATTCTGATGCCTTGGATTTGATTGCTTTAAACGCTGATGGCTCACTTCGAGATGCAGAAACTATGCTAGACCAGTTGAGTTTGCTTGGGAAACGAATTACCACTGCTCTTGTAAATGAACTTGTAAGTTTACTGTCTTGCATTCCTTGCTGGTTTGTCTGCATTATGCTTTTAAACTATACATCTAATAGCTAGGGTATTTGAGGTGTTTATCAATATGACCATGTATCAGACCAGACTCAAGGCATGAGGGTTCTTTTGAATTTAAGTTTGTTTTTTACATTATCAATTGCATTTGTGCATGCTTGCAACTTCATATTCCAAATTTAACCAGAGGATGTTTCGTTGCTTATGCTATTACATGTGGAGAGGCATAGTTAAGCCCTAGCTCATTTTTACTAACCTACTTGGGTTTCTCCCCCACATTGGTTGAGTCTGAATTTTCTAAGCTGAAAAGCAACAAATTCTTTTGTATCCAAGCTACACAACTTCAAAAATTTTGTGGCAATACAGATACCTTGGAGTGCAATATATATTTCAGTAATTACAAGTACATTTTCCTGTATGACTTCATTCTTCACTGTGTGGCTCAGTAACGTACTTGTAACCCTGTCACTTTATATAATTCTGGTAATGTCATAATGATTTTCCCTTTTGTTTTCTATTTTTATGTGTACCATTTATTATTGGAACTGGCATGCAAGGAAAAACAATGTTGTATTATTATGGTCGATTGGCCCTTTTTTAAATAATGGTACCATATCTATGTTTGAATTATCATATCCATTTTTTATGCATGATGCATGCCTGATTCAGACCCCTCTGATATTGGCAGCCTTACCTAATTAAGACTGTTTTCAGAACTCTGATGTATTCATAAATTGAGGGCTCAAATGTATAATTCATCTAATCTTGTATAAATTTGTAGTTAGTTGGTGACTCTCGTATATTCTTATGGTGGAATATTGAACTCAACATTTTGTGAATGTGTAATTGTATCCTGCCTCTCTCCCTCTCTTTTCCTTTTAATTTTTTACTCGCATATATATAAAATACGTGCTCATGTGTATTTGTGTGCTGATGTAGTTTTAAAAAAATTATCTCATATTCCAAGCAGCTTCAGTCCACTCCAATTATTACTTCACTTAAGCTATTTTTAGAATATTAATTGAAGAAATTTTTGTTGACGTTTCATGCTACAGGTGGGAGTTATTTCAGATGACAAATTACTGGAACTCTTGGAGTTGGCTATGTCATCCAATACTGCAGAGACAGTAAAAAGAGCTAGAGAGTTGATGGATTCTGGGATTGATCCATTAGTGTTGATGTCTCAACTGGCCAGTCTTATAATGGACATCATTGCTGGGTCATACCAACTCGCAGATGCCAAGTGTAGTAACTCCTCGTTAAGTGGCCGAAGTTGTAAGTGCTGACTACCTAGCTCTTAAATCCTTGTATTTCTTATTCTATGAACATTTGTCATTATTGTTTGATGTTTTGGGTGATTCTCTTGCATAGCTTATAATCTGTTATTCGTTGTAGATTTGCATTGGTACCAATAGAACTTTTGCTGTATATCCATATCTTTATTGGTGGCAAGTCTTCGATGTTTTTTCAAGATGGCAAGGATTATGTGCCATCTGTTTTTGAAGTTGTTTCTATTTTTTATCATCTGAGATTCCGAAATATGAGAAAATACTAATGCTATGATCCCTTTGTTAATAGTCATATACTCATATTAGCTTAAACAAAGTATAACAGAATGTGAGAATTTCTCACTCTAATGAGCTTGTCAAATTTTATGCATGCATCTGCTTATCATCCAAATATACGAGATCCCAACATGTTCATGAAAATAATTTAATTGATTTCAGTTTGCTATTTTTACATCAAGATTAATAGTTTAATGATTGCATCAATTTCTGCTGTTCTGTCAGAAAATATGAGAAGATATATTCTTATCTTTATCACTCTGGACCAATTAAGTGATTACCAGCTCTCATTGGGTACAAATTGCCTTGAAGTTCTAATCTTCTAATGAAAATATAAGGCTTTCCTTTAATTGGGTTTTCCATGTTCCGTTCCTGATAATTGCGAAGTCTGTAAACTTTCAGCTTTGAATAATTGAATATGAACGTAATAGCTCTGTCACAGTCACTTATATTGGTTTTTGCCTATTTGGATTTTTTTGCAGTGTCAGAATCAGAGCTGGAGAAATTAAAACATGCATTGAAGCTTCTTTCTGAATCTGAAAAACAGCTGAGAGTTTCCAGCGAACGCTCCACGTGGTTTACTGCCACTTTGTTACAACTTGGCTCTGTTACATCACCTGAATTTACTCTGTCAGGAAGTAGCAAGAAGCAAAGCTCAAAAACCACGGATGAGGATCCATCTACTGCTTCTAGAGATGCTTCTGGACGAAAGCATAATTCTGATTCCATGTATATGACCCGAAGATCAGCTTCTCCTCCGTTATTTTCTGGAGAGGGTAATCGAAAATCAGGTTATCCAGAGGGTTCATACTTGCTTACTGGTGGCGGAAGTTCCAATTCCAAAGCAACACACAAGCGCTCTGTAAATAGTATGGATAGCACTGCTTCACATGGAGATTTCATTGGTGGAAGTATGATTGTAGGACAAGCAAATATGGATGGCCTTGATGACCTATGGCTACAGTGTATTGAGAGGTGTCATTCCAAGACTCTGAGACAGCTTCTTCATTGTCATGGAAGGCTACTATCAATAGCTGAAGTTGAAGGTATGCACGTGACTTCTATCTATTATTTCAATTGTTTCCATATTTAATATGTTAAATTACTTATATATAGAGACATTTCAAATTATTATTATATGCTGGCTTTCAACATTTATAATGGTCGTAAACTGACTAGCTAGTATATGGAGATCTAATGATGGTTAGGAGAATTAAAAATGTACTTGTAATAAACACAACTGAAGTACTTTGTGATGTATAGATGGGGTGTTGACTATGTCTAAGTTTTTATTTATGCAAAAAGAACTTCTATGGGAATTTTTAAAACAGAACTGAATTAGTGACTCAGTGAATAGGTTTACACCTAATCCTTTGTTTTTGGTCTTAGCATAGTATTATAGTAAAGGTATGAACCCTATAACTTGACCAGAAAAGTTTGAAAGAAAAAATTAACTGTGAACTAAATTAGCAACTAGTATACGTATACACACAGGAATGTCACTAGAAAGTGACTTAACTCCTAATCTTTTATTTTCACGAAAGAAAATCTAAAAGTGGATAGTTAATTGCTCGAATTAATTTTCACCCAATATTAACTTAAGATGGGGTTTGTTTTGAGGGGTATCATGGGACTTAAAAAGCCTTTGAGAAATAACTGGATCTATAGACCTTCTTTGCCAAGTCAAAAGAAATAGCAAGAAAAAAGGTTTACAGAAACCATGGTTTGTGCAACGCTATGACAGATATCAAGAGAAAGTAACTTGAAGCATTCCATCGACTTAGTTGCTCTGTAAGGTATGGCATCAGTGAAAAATGCTGGTGGCAGGTGTGGAAGAACTAGCAGGTGTTATAATTATATGCTTGAAATTTAATGATTGAGCTAAATGGTGGGTAGGGATTATAAATCAAATATGGTCTTATCCATAAACATTGCCGCAGTAAGTAGGTAACCCAAAATTTTCGTATGTAGTAAAAGTTGAATTTTTTTTGTGTGGAATCAAATTACTCTTAAGAAGATTCTGTTGCTACAGGATTCGATGAAAGTTTGTAAGCATTGAATAATAGTTTTACCAGTAAATGGAGAACAATAACAATAATGTCCAAATTTAACTCCCTATATATTAATTTCCACGTTTGATGAGTGAACACATAAACTTGGAGTAAATTTCCTCTGACAAGAGGTTCTGCCTGTAGGTGTTCTCATTGTGTATATTGCATTCCGGGACAAAGTTGTCAAGTCCAGAGCTGAGCGGTTTCTTATTAGCATCACTAACTCAATCGAGATGGTTCTGGAACGAAGTATCGAGGTCAGAATGATCCTGTTACCTGAGGGTGAAATGTATCTAGGTAGTACAGAGACGGTTGGCTCACTAGAATTCTCAGGACAGAAGCAGATTAAATCAGGTGCAGGTGTCAATATGAAGGAGGGAGAAGGATTTGCTAGTTTAAATGGAGGGTCAAATTCATCTTTGTTGTTGGAGGAAAGGTCATCAAGCATTTTGGACCAACCGAATGAAAACAACACTAATGTGAGGAGGCAAGAGGTCCCTATGCAGAGAATAGAATCCATTATCCGTGAGCAAAGGCTGGAGTCTGCTTGGTTGCAGGCTGCTGAGAGAAGTACACCTCGTTCAATGAGTCGTCTACGACCTGAGAAAAATCAGGTTTTGCCTCAAGAAGGGATTATTAATGAGTTACCAGTGAATTCCAAGGATTTGACCTCCAACCATTGGGATGATGAACTCAATCATGAGATCAAGGCTTTGAAAATTACTGACAGAAAAGCCCAGCAGAAGGATCAGGATGGTAAAAGAATTGACCATCATCCTATATCTCCAAGCTTGTTGCATCAGAGTGGCTATGCCTCCAATCTTAGCAAGGATTATCCGTGAGTTATCTTCCCTTCCTCTATTTCATTCGCATCCTGTCTTTCACCATTCTTCGCTTTCTTGATCAAATAATGGTTAAATTTAGAAATTCTTGACATCAAACGTACTAACATCACTAGTAAAAGTAGAATGTATGATCAAACTCTAGTCATGAACTACTACAAAATAATTGCTGATAATTTAGCTCTTTTTATAACTTTTCTTTATGTAAATCTCGCTAGTTGTAGCTGTTGGAAATTGGGAATATGGATGCTACGATTTGAAACACATGAATTCTTTTAGCATTAATATAGAGTTCCATATGCTTATAGACTTGAGACAAATACACTCTTTGCATGCTAACAAATACTCCTGGGTTGTTACAGGGGATATGAATCAGGGCCGGGAACTGCTGGCTGCAATATGCTTTTTTGTTGGAACACCAGACATCCAAGAAAGGGAAAGGTAAGTTGAACTATCGGAATTCTTTTTTCCTTTTGGCTGCATTTGTTGGATGCCTGAATTATTTCTTTCTTCTCTTTGGAGTATTATTACATTCTCAAATATTTGAGTCATGGATTGCTTTTACCATCTTAATAGGGTAACCAAGGGAATCCTGTTCAACCACGCAAAGGTGGACGATTCTTATGTTTTGGTGAATGTAAGAAGTCTAGACAGAGTAGAGCAGAAAGATAAATTACTGTGCCGAACTTATTTTTGTTGTACTTATATTTATTTATCTATCTTAGTTTTCTTTTATTGTTTAGGCCATTCTTAAGCGAGAGGGGTGGGTCGTTTTAAGTCACAAGAGCTAGTTCTTTGATTCTTAAACTATGCTTATTGTGCCTGGGGGAAGGGTGAGCGTTCACTCGCTGTAATAAAGCAATGAGGTGAAAAGTGTAAAAGTTCAAGGTTTTTTTTTTGGTTTTGTTTTGTTTTGTTTTTTTTTTTTTCTCATCCTCTTCGTTTAAACTGACATACGAGTCTTCTACTGCTCTTTCGCTATGCACAGTTACGCTTGAAAATGTCTAAAAAAGCGGAGAAACACCTAAATTGCTCTAGAAGTTCAAAGGAGTTGAAGGGAGAAACAAGTTTATGCATCTTATGAACCATCAAAGCAACGCACAGGGCTTCATTTTATGTAGTTAAATCAGTTGGTTTGTACAATCTAACTGTGCCATCTTGGGATCTGGTTATAGGCATACTGAATAAGAGTATGACCAGTAATAATCGTTGAGACAAGTGCTCGAATGCGACCAAAGTTCAAGGCATATTTAGTTAGAAATACCAATGAAAGAATAACACACATGTAAGTTGGGAGGTGGCAAAGTAAAATGAGGCCAAGTGTGTCTAAAATTGAGTCTTTCCATGAATCCTAAATAGTAGATTTGAATATTAGATCCATTCAAAAAAAAAAAAAAAAAAAAAAAAAAAAACCTACTTGAATATAGAAATTTCCATGAAATTGACTTTAAAAAAAAATTCCCATTAAATTCTAAATTATGGGCTTATATGTAGACATGGCAATCCTAACCCGACCCGAATGACTCGACCTGCAACCCGAAAATTGTCCCAAAATCATTGACCCAAAAATGACCCGAACTCGAATCAACTCGACCCGAGCACGACTCGAAATGGACTTGATCCGAATGTGACTCGATGCTCGAAATGACTCGACCCGAAATTGACCCGAAACCTAAAGTTGACCCGACTCGAAGTGACTCGAATTGATGGACTCAAAGTTGACCCAATCCGAAGTGACCCGACCCGAAATGACACGACTTGAAATGACTCGACCCGAATTGACTCGATAGGTAATCACATTTTATTTTTTTAAAAGAAATTTACTTTAGTTTCTAATTATTATTCTAGTATAAAAGTTACTCTTATTATTGAAATAAGAGGGCCCACAAAATTTGTAAGTGAATTTATTTTTAATGACTCGACCCAAACTTGAACAGACTCAATCCGTACTTGACCTGAAAATTAGTCTTGAAAATTGACTCGACCCGAACTGACACGACCCGAACTTGATTCGATCCGAACTTAATCCGAAGTGTCGACCCGAATTTAACTCGAAACATGAAATGACCCGACTCGACCCGAACCTGACCCGAATATTACCTGACTCAAAAGTGACCCGACCCGAAGTCGACCCGAATGACCTGTTTGCCAGTGTCACACTATATAGCCTATAGTTATGCATAAACTTGTCACGTTAGATAACATGTTAACGATAAAAGATATTTCCTTCGTTTTTTCAATTGACACCATTTGACTTTTACAATATTCACAAACTACACTTTGACTACCTTTTGTGACTTATAAATCGTCTCAATGTATATATTATTAATATCCACTTTTTATAATTTTACAATGTTGATAATTAGATATATTTATCTTTAAAATTGTACGTTGGCAAGCTTGATAAAAGAAAAGTGTCAACTAAAAAAGAACGAAGGAAGTATATTTTTTAGGATAATAGGTTAATTTAGAGTTTTATATTTGATAAACTTAGAGTAATCTTTTATTATACTTATTTAGTAACCCTAAAATAACAAAGCAATCCCTTACACTCCCCTATATTACTAACTAGGTAACTCTTATAACCATAAAAGAGTAACCTTTGCAACATCAATCGAGTAATAGTCACTACAACGTGTGGCTAGTCATATACTACCTTTGTTTCTTATTATTTGCAACAAGGGGTATTATTTGTGATATATAAATGATTCCTTTGTTATTGACAACATTATATGCATGCAGTTTCATTAATTTTTTTTTTCATGTAACGTTAAATGTTTCATATTTAAATAATTAATTTTATTTCTACTATAATACATTAATACATGCGCAATAACTTTAAATTATTTTTGTTTTCTAAGTCATTACAAAAGTGTATTTATTAACATGTAAAACGGGGCATTTTTGTAATTTTTTTTGCCTATTTCTAACTCGATATAGGAGCATAAAGGGTCAAAATGACCACTAAAACCTTAACCGAATAATTATTGGCACGTAAAACATAACGACACATAAAATGAGACATTTCTTGACATGCATACGAGACATTTTGGTTATTTTTTTTGCTAATTTCGAGATAAATTTGGACCATTAAGAGCTAAAATGAGCCCAAAACCTTAACCGGACAATTTTTAAGCAAATCGATACATTAGATGTACCCGTGAGAAGACAATAAGTTAGAAGTGTATCAATGAGAAAAATCAATATCAGAGGTATACCAATAATAGTTTCCCTAAAAATTAAAGGTTATTAAACGTTTACTTATTGGATTAGTCATAGCTGTTAATTAGATCAAAGTTACAGGTATACCGTTGATAATTATAATTAAAAAGGGTATACCATTGATAAAATTCTAAACCAATAGTATACCAATGATAATTTCCCAAATAAAAAATTTACTTGCCAACAGATCAACTTCACGTCTTACAAAGAGTACAATAGGTCAATAGTACATGCTTTGACAAATGGACAACAGTTTCAAGAAATAGGTCTTAATAATTACTCCGTCCGTTTCAATTTAATAAGTCCATTTTGACTGTGTACGGTCTTTAAGATGCACCTTTGACCATCAATATCTTTAATTATGTACTAACAAAAATCATAAAAATTTGATATTATAAAGTTACACATTGAAATGAATCTAACAATGTCTCACATGATTAATTTTTTTTAGGAAATTCTCTTTGGTAACACTCAACTTTCTCTTTTTCTCTTTGGTAAATTGCAAAAATTTCATTTCTCTTTGGTTATCTTATATAATTAATTTTTATTGCTTATAACATAAATGATTATTTTTTTATTAAAATTTTAACATGGTTAAAGTTGTTTGGTTAATTTGATTATTTTTTTAATAATAAAATACAATTTCTTTCAAAAATAATAATAAAATAAAATTATTTCTTAAAAAAATCCAAACCCCTCCCCACCTCACCTAGCCACTAGCTCCCTCTCCCGCTGCCGGCAGCCAGGCGCCCAACCCTCAGCCGGTGACGCCTAGCCTCCCCACCCCGGCCGACGACGCCCAGCCTCCCCCACCCCACCTTCTCTCTTTCCCTCCACCCTGACGTACCCCCATTTCCCTCCGCCGGACCTTAATCCCACCCCAAACCACCACGAAAACCGACTCCCTTCCCCGACGAACCCCCTCACCTGTGTGCCGACCACGGAAACCCTAAAACCCAACCAAAACCACCAGAAAACCAAACCCGTTTCCTGGTTTTGGTTTCAAAACCCTAAACAGGTTTGGGCGTTTTCTGGTATTTTTGGGTTGGGTTTAGGGTTTCCGGTCGGCGACAGGGGAGTCCGAGCGTCGCCGATCGGGGGTTGGGCACCTGGCCACTGGCAGAGGGAGGAGTTACTGGTGGCTAGGAGGGGTTTGGTTAATTTTTTTTTTATAAAATTTATTTTTATAATAATCTAACTATTGAAAAAAACCTAACTATAGTTAAGGATTTTTATAAAAATAACACTTATCAATGGTTATCAATAACAGAAGATTACCAAATAGAATTGAAATTTTTGCAATTTACCAAAGAGAAAAAAAGAAATTTGAGTGTTAAGAGAAATTCCCAATTATTATTATTATTATTTTATTTTTTTTAGTACATGTACTACTTCTGTTTTATATTATTTGCAACAATTTGACATAAAGTATGAGTAAAAAATGTCTAATCGTTGCAAATAATATGAAATAGAGGTAATATATTATTGTGAGTTTTTGGTCAAAGTTGTAAAAATTTGATTATAAAAAGTAAAAAATAAGAGTATCAAATTAAAACGAAGGGAGTAAACTATGTTCAATATTTAAAGACAAATTATTTAAAGGAGAATGGTGCAGATGTACAACAAAAGAGGCCAATGAGTACGCCCATTGATGGGTAGCCTTACTAAGTTATATTCGTTTCCTTGTAAAAAAATAAATATAAAAAAACCGAGGCCGATGTGTACTCATATGAATTTGCATGTAAACAAATCAACAATCACCACCATATCAAAAGCCTTAATCTTAGCACTGTCAAATTTCAAACCGAAACCGTTTAACTGCCTGAAACCAATCGACCCAAATGAAAACTGAACCGATTAAAAACCGAGTTTTTGAAACCAAAAACCGACCCGAACCGTATTTTAGTAAACCCGAAACCAAACCGATTCGAATAATGTTAAACCGTATAAGAACCGAACTCGTTAATGAACCGTCCCAGTTCTAAACCGAACTGAAATGAAATCAAACCGAAAAAGAACCGAACTGTTATTAACCCAAAACCGTTTCCAACCCGAAACTGCTTGACCAGAGGAAAAAACCGTTTACACCAAACCGTTAACAAACCGCAACCCGTTTGCATCAAATCGTATACAAACCGAACCATTTATGAACCGAACCGCTTATAAATCGAACCGTTTATAAACTGCTTACTATAAAAGGAAGATTAAAATCATGTTAAAAGGAATTTGAAATGAAAACTAATTATGCATACATGTGTACTACATAATACATTATTTTCCCTGACTTTTTTTTTATGTAATTATGGATTAAGCAAAAATAATTTTCGTCTTCTCTTTAAATAATTTTTGGATTTGGCGCCATTAATTTTACGTTTTGGGTTTCTCTTGAACTCAGCCGGGAATTGAATTCATTCAAATTTTTTGGCGTCAAAGGCCTTAATCTGTGTACATGAGACTAATGCATTCTCATTGGTTAAATGTTTATCTTGCTTTATTTTGATTGGCTGGTAAATATTAGTTTGGTGACAGTGATATTCTAGTTGAAAAGTTTATATTTTTGCTTATTTTTCCATTTAAGAAAATAGTAAAGTACTTCCAATCATTGTTTGTACTAAAAACTCTCAATCCCTTACTTCCCGTGAAATTTGAGAAACTGACACATCGTTAAAAGACAGTTAATAAGTTCACCATTTTTAATAAATAGGTAGTAATACAGGTAACAAGTTTGCAAAACCAGACCCGAAAATAACCCGACCTGACGTGATCCAGTTAAAAGGCTAATTTAATTAAACCCGAACATATCCGACCCAAATAGACTCGATTCGTTATTGGTCAACCTAAACGAATTGACACCTCTGCTCGTATCTTCTCACCAGCTGTGCTCTTCTTCTCAACTTTTTGTGTCTTTTTTTTTATGAAATCAAAACCGTTTAACTGTCCGAAACCAACCGACCCAAATGAGAACCGAATTGATTAAAAATCGAAAATTAACTCGAACAGTATTTTAGTAAACCTAAAACTGAACCGATCCGAATAATGTTAAACCAACCGTATAACTGAACCCGTTAACAAACCAAATCGTTCTAAACCAAATTGAAATAAAACCGAACCGAAAAAGAACCAAACCATTTCTAACCCAAAACAGTTTGAACCGAGATAAAAACTGTGTACCTCGAACCATTAGTAAACTGCAACCCCTCTGCAACGAACCGTTTACTACCTGAATTGTTTACAACCCGAACCGAATTTAAACCGCTCAAGAATAAATCGAAACCGAAACAAATCGATAATAATTTGAACCAAACCGAAGCCGACCTGTAAGGCACTTGAACCGATTTCAAACCGAACCGAAACCGAACTGTCAAACCGTTTTGACAGTACTACTTAATCCCATTGGCATTGGGAGACAAGGATACACTTGAAAAGGAGCCCAAGACATGAGATTAAAGAAGGCTCAAGATGGATATTAATTAAGACAATTAAATAATATTTAAGAGCTTGATCTTGGATTCAGTATTCTCTCTGCAAGTAGTAGATCATCAGGGGTTGTTATCTGTATAGAAAAGCAAAAAAAGGGATGTATTAGCTGAATTTTCATGATACACTACTACTATAAGTCCATCAATCGTTATTTACTAACTTTGTTATTATGTTCTACTCACTTACTATAAATATTAGGGGTGAGCAAAAAATCAGAATACCCTGAATCGGAATCGGAACCAGAACCTGTTAGGAATCGCAGGTTCCGAAACCGGAACCTGTATAAGAGGTTCTGGTTCCGGGTGGCAAAATGGAGAACCTGTTGCCATAGGTTCCGGTTCAGGTTCTTAATATTTTGGAACTGGAACCTGTAGGGTACCCTGTAACCCGATAAAAGTATCACTTAATTTCAAATTATACACCAATTCTAACTTATTTTTTAAATAATAAATATCAAAATTACAATTATAAATATATGTATTAAATTTATTAGACAACTACTATTAGTTTGTTTTATTTGCGAGTTGTAAACATTATAAATTAGTGATCAACCAGTTTTTTGTTAAAAAAAATCTGCAAAAAGTTAGTAAGTATATTACAAGACAGGGTACCCTGAATCAGAACGGGAACTTGTAGGTTCCGGTTCCGGTTCCCGATTTCCAGGAACCTGTTCAACAAGTTCCGGTTCTAGGAATTTTGAGAGGGTATCCTATTATGCTCACCCCTAATAAATATACAATTTAAGAAATTGTTGAGAATATTTGTGAGTGTAAGATAAAGTAAGAAAGAGAATATAAAAAAGTGGGTTTGTATAAGAAAAAGGTGAATAAAGTAAGAGAAAGAGAGTATGAATAGCTGTAATTATTATGGGGTTGAAGGGTAAGATGGTAAAAAAGTGTAATAAAGCAAAGTGAGTAAAACATAAAAGAACGGCCTAAAATGAAAAGTGCGTTGAACAAAAAAGAATGGAGGGAGTATTAATGTATATAGGTCGAGAAGCACATTTGCTTCTATCATTTATAAATGTGAGAAAAGAAACAATAATTGATACCTTGATGTTGGTATAAGAACCTTCCGTGATGAACACTGGATGACCAAGATGTTCCACAATCGATACGTCATCAGTAACCTCAAGTCCTTTTCTGAACAATGTAACACCAGCTTTTATCAAATTCTGTCTAATGCAAGGCTAAGGAAACAATGAATCAATCCATCACCATGATAACAGAAGTTTAAAAATAAAAGAAGTTGCTTGACTATAAATCATTATCTTTGATAAGACATGATTTTGTCAAACAGGAAGCGAGTTGCTGGCTTACTGCCATATGAAAGTCGATCAATTCTTCAAACAAGGTCTAGTGTAGAACTAATAAATCAGAACATTTTTGAGCAAAATGTTTTGATCATTGGAGGATCATGAATCGATTTAGAATAGATCGCATTCTCAATTCTCACTGAAGTTGTCATAGGAAATATCATTACTAGCCTCAAACTAATGAGTAACTAAAGCTGAGTAACTAACACTGGATGACCAAGATGTTCCACAATAGATACGTCATCAGCATTCTCACTAAAGACGTCATAGGCATTAGGCAATATCATTAATAGCCAATTAATTGGAGCTGTCATTTTCTGGTGCATCTTGAACTTCTTTACTTTTTCTCTAATAAGATGCGAAAAAATTCAAGTTAATAAGGCTGATATACAAACTTAGCATATCAGCGATTTTCCCTGTTTTTGAAGGCTGATATACAAAGTTTGTATATCAGTCTTATTAACCGGGTCTCCCTCTAACAAATGCCTACAAATTCATTCGGTTATTTTTTTTTCTTTTTCTGCTCGACTTATTTCATACAAAAGTTGAGATAAGTTAAATCATGTCTAGTAAGTCAATACGTTCATACAAAATAAATAAGTTTTAAAAGTACCAAAAAGTTTAATCGACATTCACAATAAATTCCAACAAGCGACAAGAAGTTTAGACATTAATTTTGTATTTAATTTTGTTAGGCCACCAATGGTTGTGATTCTGTGTGAAATTTTCCAAAAAGTTCTCAAGCTCAAACTTAGTTATGCTGTGAACAATTTCTAGTGTCATTGAAGTGTAGGAATTTCATATGATAAAAGACATAAGTCCATAGGAGTAAAACAAAGTACCTATTCAAAAGATCAAAGCCTTCCTTTAGTAATGCAGGCTTGATAACCTGAGGTGGAGATGCAGGATGCATATATAAGCGAGAGGAAGACAAGCATAGATGCAAAATTTCTTTAGCTACCAGTTATATGTTCAATTTAATCTATGGTATTGGTACCTGAGGAGTTTGCATTTCCCAAAGAGTTTTCTACCAGTTATATGTTCAATTTAATCTATGGTATTGGTACCTGAGGAGTTTGCATTTCCCAAAGAGTTTTCCTATCCAGAGTTTTCACAACAAAGCTCTTGTTACTTGCCTGCAGGACATCAGAGGAAATTGATCATCACAATTCACCAACCAGTTAGAGTGTGTTAAATCTGCTGTTACTGATGGCTGAACTGAAGGATTATTAGGCAAGTGACCTGTAATACTCTAATCATCAAAGGGTCTTCTAAATCAAGACTGTCTGCTATTTACATCGATATGGAAAGTCACTGGATGTCAATAAAGAATGCAAACAGAACAACAAAGAATAGTTCTAGGCATAAGAATTGTCCAGGGTTATTAGTTCTGATGAGAAATAATTTGAAACAACATTCTTGCTTAAATACAGTGGATTCTATCAAGGACGTGCATGAAACGAAAAGGCTAGTCACATAATCACTTGATAATCTGCAAAAAAACAATTTTAGAGCATGATCAAATTTTGACAATCCTGAGTTCATTGAAATTTCACTTGTACTGTAATAGATTGATCTAGGTGTAGAGAGAATATAAGGAATGCATATAAAAATTTGTTACGAGGTAGCTTGGGAATAAATTTCCAGGTAGTCGGAGTAGAGAGGGAAGTAAAGGTAGCAGATTATCTATATATAGAGGAGATCAGTAAGAAATTTTCTTTGCTATAGCTTGTAGTTGGGAATGTCCAGTCCAGCCACTCGGAGGTATGGGACTTTGGAATTGCATGCTAAATTTAAGTATTGAATTACATTAGCATTATAATCAATTATCATTTTTTTCAATTAACTTTCATCTTCAAAAATTCAATCTATCATTTGAAGTCATGATCATTACAAATATTAATCAAGTTTACCTCCTTGATTGTAGCTTTGACAGGCACACCAAGTACAGCTGCTCCATGCAGCCAGCCATCTTTAAGAACCTACATATAGAAATTTTAACAATTAAAGGTATCTCAGCAGAAATCTAACCTGCTGCAACCATCAAATAAGAACATTAAAATGAAAAAAAGAGAGGCAAGTATGTTCATTTGGTTGAACTGAAGGAAAAACCCAATAGGGAGATTGCTTACAAAATCAAAATCTCCTCAATGACTTACTACTGCAAAGTGCAAACAACATTAGCCTCCAATCAGAAACCAAGGATCCCATGCTTTTCAAGATCAAACTTTCACAATTAATTTATCTCCAAATGTAGATAAACATTTAAAAGTTAATAGGGCAGCTAAGCGCACCATAGCTAGCCATGTTTGGAAAGTTTTTTCGATTTGACCTTATGTCACAAACTTAGTTGTTGGCAGCATTAGTGAGAGAATATATAAACAAATATTTTTAGGGGTATAAATGTCCACACACTATTCAGCAGAGTTAAAAAAAATTGCAATTAACATTAATGAGGGAGAATAAGTAAATAAATATTTTAGAGGATAAAATTGTCAATAACACTATTCATAAGAGTTATCTCAAACTTTTTAAAAGGCAGGGATAAATTTTCTGCTACATACAATTCTAGCATTATATACTGGATGTTTTTTTACTAATTAATTTAGTTAACTAGTTCATCAACATTTTTAGTTAGTTTCACATCTCCATATATGGCATTATAAACATGCATGTTATTTTTTAAACACAAGGGTCATTTTAGGTATCATAGGTGGACATTAAACTCCTACGAGTTCCTTAGAATATATATATATAATCAAAAAGTGGCCTGATTGGGCAATGATGACAAGTACGTAGGCAACTAATGGAGACCAACCTTTCAAATATTAATCAAGTTTATTTTTCAGAAAGCTAGTTATATATAGCCTGATAACAGAAAACTACCTTCTCTACATCTTGAGAATACACCAAAGGCCTAGCAGAATCATGGATGCATACAAGTTCAGCATCAGAATCAATGGCCTGCACTGAAGGATTAGTATTAGTCTACCCAAGATTCATCAACAGCTCCATTTACAAGAAATAATAATCTTTACCAAACTATAAAGCATAAACTAAGTTATTCAGTATAAATCCCAAACTAGTACTCAGTATGCTGAGTTGCATCAAATCACATTTTTTTTGTCCCCTACATATTTCTCATACTTTTACCTACAACGAGTGAGGGGGAGGACATGCTTTAATGCTACACAAAGTACTCTAACCATGAAATATTTTAAGGGTTATCGTAAGATGCAACTATTGGCTCTCCCCATTGTTGTGGCCCTTATATATAGGATCAAATGAGAAGAATGATAATCACACACTCATCAATTTTGAACTTCAATTACAAGTTAACTTTAGGTTAATTTTCTTTTACTGCAGGCTATGTTACTTCGATTCTTCATTTAGTCTTCCATAGTTCTGTCAGACACTAGATGTGAGAAATGTAAAAGGAGAAGAGAAATATAAGGAGAAAACAAAAGGTATTTTCTATTGTTAAGGAGAGGGCTAATTATAGGAAACTAAATTACTGGTTATTATAGAAACAATGAGAACCATTGTTTCATTAGCTTTTAAGGGATTATAATTATCTAGAAGCTTAGTGTTGTAATCTAGTTCAATACAATTCACATCATAAGAGTTTAATATAGAAAGTCTTTTCTTACGTTATATATATTATTTCCTTCATAGTGGTAGTTTGTTTATCCCCAAAATTTATTTATTTGTGAGATATCAATTTCATATTATTTAATAGATGCCACATTTCTGCTGGAGAGAACTAAAAATCGCTATCAAAGACAATGTCAAAATCTTAAGTGGTAAAATTTTTGATTTTTAAAATAACTATAATAGCATCTATTAGGGAAATACGAAATTGAAAAATTCAATCGGAAAAATAATTTTTCCTATTGGACGATGTTAATGAATAATTTGCTTATATCACAAAAGTTGCACAAGGCATGAACGGGAAAAAACCGAGGACATGAAGGATGAGGATTGGGAAGAGTTAGATCTTGAAGCACGAGCGGCCATAACCTTGTGCCTTGAGAGGGATGTTGCATTCTTGGTAAATGAAGAAGCAACGACAGCTGGCATGTGGTCAAAGTTAGAGAAAAATTTCATAATGAAAATTCTAACAAACAAGATGTACTTAAAATCCAAATTGTATACAATTTGGATTTTAAGTACATCCTATTTGTTAGAGCTTTCATCATAAAATTTGTCTCTAACTTTGACCACACGCCAGCGCCGTTGCTTCTTCATCAACCAAAAATGCAACATCCCTCTCAAGGTGCTATGGCTGCACGTGCTTTAAGATATAACAATTCCCAATCCTCATCCTTCATATGCTCATGTTTTTGTTCCCGTCAATGTCTTGTGCAGCTTTTTAAGATACAAGCAAATTTTTCATTTGCATCCCCCAATAGGAAAAATCATTTTTCCCATTTAATTGTTTGATTTTACCGTTCCACTAGTAGATGCCATTATAGTTATTTTCCAAATCAAAAAATTTGACCGCTTAAGATTTTGACGTTGGCTTTGATATCAATAGTTACAGCTCTCGCAGTGGAAATGTGGCTTCTGTTAGATAGTATAAAACCGATATCTCACAAATAAACAATGTGCTGGGGATAAACAAACAACCACTGTGAAGGAAATAGTAATTGTAAGAAATTAAACAATCTTGAATTGTATTCTAACCTTTTCTGATGTGAATGATGATTAATAACTACATTACAACCTAAACAATTTATAACATCTTATTTGCTCTACATAAAGAATGACTTAATTTCTTTTACTAAACAAAACACTGGAACATATTTTTCTTTCTACTATTTTGCAATCATTTCCTCTTTTCTCTCCTACAACTTCTCTTCTCTTTTCACATTAACTAATATTGCTTAAATTAGAGTATAATTAGTTTGTTTATTATAACCATATTTTCCACGAGGATAATTATTGTCACTCAGCTTCAGACAATGCAATGAAATATGTAGTAAATGGATGATTGTTTCAAGAGCATCACACCGTATATGCCCAAACAGGAAGTGGTTTACCACTTACCAAGATGGAGGCATTGTTTCGATGAGAAACGATCATGCTTGCAAAACGATCGGGTCGGGTACTATCCAAGTCAAGATGCATGATGGTTTCAAAAATAAAAAAAATAAAAAAAAAAGTCAAGAGGATGGAACAATAAGATGTGCGACATATCCCACATTTGCGAAAGAACCTTATTTCTCTTGGTTTATTAGAGAAGAATGGATGCAAAATAGTCTTGGAGAATTAAGATTTAAAAGTTGTTCATTGTTTCTTGGTAGTGATGAAGGGGATTCATCATGGTGATCTTTAACCTCTTTTGGGGATAACTGTTACATTTGATTTAGCTATTGGAATCGATGGAAGTAAAGAACAAATAGAATGCACGAGGATATAGCACATGTGCCTTTGGCATATGTCGGAAAAGGGTCTTCCTTAGTGACCAAGGTTTGTTAAAGAACATGAAGAAGCCACAAATGGAATTTTGTGAGCATTGTGTGTATAGAAAAGCACCCAAGGTGAAGTTCTCTACAAGCAAGCATAAAAGCAGAGGGTTTTTAAACTATGTGCATACGGATGTTTGAGTTTGGCTAAATTTGCTTCCAAGGGTGGTTCTACGTACTTTGTTACACTTGTTGATGATTATTCTAGATATGCTTGGATTATTTTCTTAAGCATAAGAATAAGGTATTCGACATTTCCATGCGATGGAGAGCAATAGTGAAAACAAAAGGTCGAAAGTTAAATATTGTACGGTCTGATAATGGTACCGAATACATAAAGGGAGCTTACAAGGCATGGTTTGAAAATGCGGTTTCGGTCGCTATTGCAGAAACGGTCGCGGTAATTCGGTAACGGAATTGATGCGTTGATCGCGGATTGCATCGCGGTCATCGCACAAGAATTTTATTTTATTCTATGTTTTTTCTATTGATTTTCTCATAATTTATTAGAAAATTTATATTCTTATATGAGTACAAAATACGGATCGGAGTAGCCTTTTATAACCCTTTTAATTAAAAAATGGAGACTCTTTTTATTTACCAAGTATTAAAGTACGTATATTCTAAAATTAAAATTCTAATTGTGTGCAAGAAGACTACTAGATTTAGTTATTAATTGAAAAAAGGGTCACGTGGGAAAGAAAAAGAAGACAAAATTAAAGAGATGGGGTGGGGTGAGGTGATGGGTTTAGTCAAAATATAAGGATTTATAAAAAATCTTCCAGCTGTCCAAACTCTTTTATTCAGAAAAAACAGTCTGACATAGAAAAAGTGGTCGATTTTCATGGAGGAGCTGGAAATCCTTGTCGGAAAAGCGGGAGAGAACTTAAAGTTTGGGTTTTTTGTTCGAAACTGTGTGAGTAACGTTAGATGCGGCCGATTTTCTCTTCAAAACGGTCGTACCGGCCGTTTCATTGAAATCCGTTACATCTCAGCTATTTCGCGACGTAACGACTGAGTTTTCATACCCTGTTTCAAGGAGTTTTGTGAAGAGGAAGGTATTGTGAGACACTGGACAGTTAGAGACACACCACAACAGAATGAAGTCACAGAAAAACTGAATTGTACAATACTTGAGAAGGCAACGTGTATGCGCTCTAATTCTAGGTTAGGCAAAACATGGTGGGGAGTTTGATTGCTACAACTTGTTAATTAGTAAATCGATCCCCACATTTTTATTTAGATGATGACAGGCCTTATAAGGTGTGGTCAAGGGAACATGCAGACTACAGGATACTTTGGGTGCACAACTTACTGTCATGTTAAGGACAACAAACTTTTTGAGGTATCCAAACGGGGTATCCAAAAAGGGTTCAAGGCTATCGTCTTTGGAGTGTAGAGAATTCTAAATTTGTTATCAGCAAGGATGTGACCTTTTATGAAAAACTATGGTAGCTTTATCTAAAGTTATGGTGCCTAATGATGGTGATGTTGGAATGACTTCAAATACTAAGTGGTGGAGATAGAATCTAGAGACCAACAAGATTCTAGTCATATTCAAGTGGAGCATCCTGATGTTACTCAAGATAAGGAGGAGGATGATCTTGATCATGAAGAGATTTGGCAAGAAAATGCACATTTATTACAACAACACCAAGATTCTTTGGCATACACTAGGCCGAATTATAAATCAATTCAGGACCTAGCACGTAAACTTAGTAGAATATGCACTCTCTATGGAGGATCATGAGTCAGTTACCTTCAAACAAGCTATCAAAGACAAGGATATCGAGAGTTAGTTGGTTGCTATGGAGGAAGAGACGCAATCTCTTCACAAAAACATTAACCTAGATTTTCAAAAAGGCGAAACGAAATTATAGAAGAAATTGAGAATTGAAAATAAAAAACAAATAACAAATCTTAAAACATAGAAAATAAAAAATAAATAAAAAAAAAGATCTTTTTCAAAAGCTAGTTAAGATTCTAATGAACAATTCATTTGAATCATAGAAAAAAGATCAAAAAAAAAAAATCAGAAACAACTTTGTAAAAAAAATAAAACCAAAATTAAAATTAAAGAGTGTTTTAAAATAATAACGGAAACATAAAAAATAAAAAAAATTAAAAACTACAAGTCTAACTTTGAACATGTTGAAAAAAAACACAAAAATTGTACAGATTTTTTTAAAAAGATCCATTCAAAATTCTAAACAACAATTTGCTTTGAAAAATAACTAAACACAAAAATATCATACAAAAAAAAAAAAAAAAAAAAAAAAAGCATTTGTAAACAAATTGAAAAACAAAATATGAATATAAATAAAAACCACGATGTTAGTGTACAGGAAATATGAGTAACAAAATTAAAAAATTTGTACATTGAAAATAAATTAAAAAAAAATCTTTAGACACTGAAAGGGAAAAAAAATTATATAAACCTTTTGTTTTACAAAAAAATTATGCAAACCTTTTGTTTCAAAACACAAATTATACAAATTTATACAATTCAGAAGAATATATTAAGGAGAATTCGTTTAAACAATAATTAAACATAAAATCATCAAATTTAAAAATAAAAAACTAATTATGGAACAGATTTGAAAAAAGAAAGTTTAAAATAAACTGTAAACAAAGTTGAGAAAATTTACTTATCAATGCTTCTTTGAATGCAAGACCACCATTTCATCTTGTATTTGATGTACATATTGACATCAATTATTTATTTTACTTGAAATAAAACAATAAAAATTATAGATTGAGGGTAAAAAAGAGGAACAATAGAGAGAAGGAAGAAACAAAGAGGAGAAGGGTGAGGGTAAAAATAAACTAATTTTCAACTTTCTTATATTAAAAGTTACGAAAACCAAGAGGCACAAGTGATTTTTTTTTTTTTTTTGAGAATTGAAATTTAAAGCGTTTAAGATAGAAGAGAAGATTTATTTTAGTTTATTTTTGTTGGATGGGGTTAAAATATAAAAAGAAAAATAACTATACTTCGAAAAGGCATGATTAATTAATATATATATATATATGAGAATTGGAATAGAAGAAATGTTTGATTGAATTTTTGTCAAATAAAAAAATTAAAAAAAATTATTTTTAAAACAGGAATTACAGGAAGAGGACATGCCCTCTTCCAACTTCCTATTTTAAAATATTAGTATTGATGTGAACCATTGTTTCATTAGCTTTTAAGGGATTTTAAATATCTAGATGCCTAAGTGTTGTAATTCAGTTCAATATAATTCACAGCATAAGAGTTTAATCAAAGAAAGTTTTTCTTACGTTATATATATTATCTCCTTCATAGTGGTTAATTTGTTTATCCCCAAAATGAGTATTTATTTGTGAGATATCAATTTCATATTATTTAGTAGATGTCACATTTCCGCTACGAGAGCTCTCACAATTCAACAAATGTGTGAAATCCTTATCCGACACTTCAATGCCCACTTAAACACTTCAATCATCTTTAGCCACATAATCGTAGAAGAAACGAAAAAGTAGAAGTAAAAAGAGCATGTGAAAATGTGCTACACAGCGTAGAAATGACAATAGATTAATATTTATTATTTTGCACCTGAAGTCCACTGTAAACAGAGTCTTGTCTTTCCTTCCCAGGTTCAGTAAATCTGAGATCTACATGTATCTTGTCCTTGGTGTCTGAAAGAAAGAAAAACTTTTCTTACCTATCCTACTATAACAACAAAATGCAGGGAAAAGATAGGTTGGGAATATGCAATTGGACCTTCAAAAATGTCTTTGTAAGATGGATCACAAACTACAACAATTTCTTTCACTTCAACCATCTGTGAAAAAGTATACAAGCTGAAAAAATGCAAGTACATTAGTTAACTACACACAGATGCACAAGCATACAATTATTGCTAGTAAATGAGGCAAAAAAAAAAAGAAAGTTGGATCACATATTCTACATTGATATTTTTATTTTTGAATTCCTTCACACATTCTACATTGACAAATTAGGGAGTTTCAAAGAGCGCTTCTGCCGCAAGAATTTATCATTTATGTTAGCAAAATGTTTAGAAAATAGAAGACACAAAGTAAAATAACAGTTTATATTCATGCTATCTGAATAATAATTAAAAAAAATAAATAAATAAACTATAGAAAGGGGAAATATATTCCAGGACCCTCAAAATCACATACCCTTGCAAAGAATAAGATGTCTGAATGTCACATTCCACTTCAATTATCCTTCATTCAGAACCTCCCCCCCCCCCCTCCCTTCCCCCCAACACACACACTTTCCAGCAGTTATATCCAACTTAGCCCTGCTGATAAGATTGTACCATGATGACCAAAACCTCCCTATGACAACCTTAATCTTCTTTTTATAGGTTTCTTCCTACATTTTTATGTCCAACACTCCAACCAGCAAACTTGTTACAAACATCACAAATTATATAGGTACATCGTTGCCATAGTAATGTTGGAGTATAATACCATACTGATTAAATGTAGAACAAAATTTGACAGCCATAAACCAGCTAAGTTTACAAAAAAGTGACAGCTATAGGACAACCTAAGCAAATGTTAGGTCCTGAAAAAGCAATAGAGGACAGCTCTAGCAGTCGTTGCATAACCCACACAAGCACAACACTACAGTACAGGAACCAGGAAAATCCTCATTCTGAAAGTGAACTATCAAACTTAAGGTCACATTTATTAGCATTCAACCAAAATCTCCAAGAGATTGACCAAACCATATTAAGAGGTAAAATGATGAGTAGATAACATATAAACACCCAGATGTAGTAGACATTTAACGTTATCCTTTATTGTTTGACAGTAAATGTTCCAGTATATCTCATCATTCTCATGATATACCAATAAAAACCCAATGGGTAATAGGCACGAGATCTTGTCCATTGTGTTTTAATATACCTATACAATGCAATAGGCTGGCCCAGGAGCGGGAGGTACTGCTTTGGCATGTCTGCCTGTTGAAAAGGAAAAAAAAAACATTAGAAGTGTAAGAATGAGAGCAGAAAACGGCACACAGTAAAGAACAAAGAAATACAAATTTTAACACAGATGTATACAAGATAAGCAGTTAAAACAGAGAATTAGTAGGTTTCACAAAAAAAAAAAAAAAAAAACAGAGAAATAGTAAAAAAATTATCTACCCAAATAAGCACACAGCGCATAATGAAAATTTGAATTGAGGAACGAGTAAAGGCATCTAATTCATCATCATCCTACTCAAATAGCTAACCCATTCACCAGTAAAAGCCTTGTCCTGGCAATGTCTAAGGTAATCATTTGTACATTCCCCAGCTTCCTATCAAAGTTTTATGACTTTTGTCAATAATTCACGAGTCAACAGACAAACCACTTGTTAAAGATACACATTTGCTCCTAATTAGCTGTAACAAACTAACAACCCCTAAATTGAGTTGTAGTTCATCATGTATATAGGCATTGACTAATTGAATTTTTTTAGGATAACTCATTAATCGTGGATTTAAAATGTTTGCAAAGGTTCCAACGACTCTAATGTTGGTCAAACAGATATAGTAAAAAATATAACAATAATTACAATTATTTATTTAAAATTAACAAATAAATATATATTAATAATAGAAAATGTAGGAGAAATGCATACACCCATTCTCTTGCCTTTGCCACCAGCAAGAAGGATGACAGAAACGCTTCTCTCCTTCACAATTGCATTTTTCTGCAAATAATTTCAACACCCATGAAAATCAAATTTGAAATAATTTAGATATTAAAAAAGAATAAAAATAAAAAAATACCCAGAACGAGAAATTGAGGTAATTAAAAATAAAAAATCCGAAACCTGAGTAATTGGGCCAGAATTTGCAGAACAATGGATTCTTGAAGTAAACCATTTTGGGTTTCTGTTTTTTAGGACTTGAATATTCTGGAATTGAAAAGGGGAATAAGTGGAAGATGAAGAAGGGAAATTATTCAGAGAAATGGCGGGCATTCTGGGATTGGAGGAACACCCAAAAATAGCAAAAGATAGACTCAGTTGCTTCACTCCAACTAACGCCATTTTTTTTCTTTGCTGTATCAAATGAGACTATGAGTGGTCATTTCATAAGTTTATAAGTTTGAAATTTCGTATGCAAATCAGGGGTATTAGGGTCATTTCATCTATTCAGTTGGGGTAACTTTTTTTTTTTTTTTTTTTATACAATTCCTCCCTTCTCTATCACAGCCAACACAACTTCTTCCTCCACACAAGCATAACTGCACACCAACGCCGCCAACGCCTATAGCAGTTAGAGATGTGGTTGTGAAGGAGATGCTTCCTCTAAGAGATTAGTATGATCCTACTTTACACTATTTGCTATTAAGGTGTCTTTTTGCTATTGTCACCAGACATGTTCACGGGTTGGATATCCGAATATCCAAACCGAAATCACATTTTGGATTGAATATCCGTACCGAAATCACATTTCGATTTGGATATCCGAATACTGATCCAAAAATTTCAGATATTTGATATCCGATATCCGAAATTATTCGGATCGGATGCTTCGAATATCCATCATTCAATATTAATCAAAATTGATTGTGATTATTTTCTAAATTCCACTAATTTTATCGTATTTTTATCACGAAAAAGTTGTACAACATATTTTAACAGAATAGTAGTAGAGTATGAGTTGTTCGATGTGCGCTTACGTGAGCATGTTGTGAATATGTTTGGCAATCATCGGAAGTTGGATTTGACATTATTACGATAGGGATAAAAAAAGTATGGAGTTGCTAACAAGTTTTTAAGGAACTTGTAAATTGTTTATAAATCATTAAAGGCAACCACAAAAAAGGAAAAACTGAAGGCAACAATGATTTAATTCATGAAGGTTACACCCATTCATAATAGTACGGATTGAGTCATGAACTCAATGCCGCAATGGCCTCTACTCGATTCTTACAACAACATGTATTAATTGCAACCCAAAAGACATACAAACAAGATTCAATTTGCTCCAAACTAATTAATCTAAGTCGGTTGATGTAACACCTTAGAAATTCCTTTCCTTTAAAATACTATTTTTCTCTTTTAAAATACGAATTAGGAAAGTCTAAGACATTACCGCCACCGTGAAAACGGTTAAGGCAATTAGCAAAGACTTACAACGGAAGACTCACTTTAAAAATCATTCAAAACAAGTTATCTTAAAAAGTCAAACCAAACGGAAGTAAAGTCAAACCAAAGTTAAACAAAGTCAACCTACAACTTGGAACCATTGTAGGCCCTTATCAACCCAAAACAAATTTTAAAAACCTTTGTGTTAGTCTCACAAGCAAAATATATGATAATCAAAACAATAAACCATATCATATCCTTATAGAAACTAAGCATGATTCGCTTTTCACTCATGCCCATCATGAATATACTTCATCACCTGAAAAGCTTCTCTTTACTTTGCCCCCACTACTCGCCATTAGAAATGGGTCGTCGTAGGGCCAAGATAAAGACAAAGCCAAGCAAATATACAAACACACAATCAGCAATGCTGAATACATAAGCGTAAACAGTACACATTAACATGCTTTCATCCTACCAATACACAACTTACCTTGTTGCACCTGTTTACAAGCATACAACACAACCAACCAACAAATAGCTAAATATATTGCTTATTTAATTTGATTACCCATCGAACGGGTTTCCAACCAAATCTATGCCCCAACAAATTGAGGTAAACTACATCGGGAGCTAACCGGGTAGGCAAATGCCACATGAAAGTGAATGGACGTCCTGCGCATAAAATAAATAAAGGAAAATACAGCGTCTTGTACTCCCAGTAGAAGTTATGGTCAAATATAAAGTCGCATAACTCCCCCCATATGTTCATACTCGAGGTATATACATTCTAAGAGTTTTGGTGCATAATCTCTTTCACTTTACGTGATTTACATATTTTTAGACTTGGTGATGACTCTCAAACCATAATACCATTAATCATAATAAATCATTCAAGCAATCAAACACACCAATTTAATTCTTGAATAATTAGTGACCACATAAATTTAATGTTGAACCCTTTTTAAACTACCTCGGCGTTAAATAACACCTTAAGCGCATAAAGCACCGCAAATTCTATCCCTCGGTGTTTAGAACACCTTAAGTGCACTTAGGCACCACAATACATTTTATTCCTGTGTACTAAGACACTTAATAGCTCAATTCCCATGCTTAAAGCATCAATAAATATTATATGAACCATAACAAAATTTCCTTTTAATATTCCAAACCAAATTAAACATTTAGTTTAATTAAACATGCTCTCAATCATGCCAATAATAAAAGTGTGGTTCATATTCAACATGTTGGGTTTTGCGGTGTCCGATATATACCGCGCGGAACCAAAACCCAATAACCGGATCGCATGCATAATAATTACAACATAAATAAAATCATGCAAAATAAACATAAACATAAGAGAAGAGAGCGAAGAGAGAGAAAGAATGCTCACCCTTGCAGCGTGCTTCGCTCAACCGTTGAGCTCGGACTTGAAAGCTTCAAGTTTCGCAAGTGCGAGAACCTCCAACGGCTCACACCCTCACTACCGAACCGTAACGGGTCCCTACCCCGAAGTTTAGTCAGGGCTAGACCAAAAACAACTTAGAGTTATTTGAACAAAGGTTTTCTCTATGGAGATCCCTTAAAGTTCACCAACTCAACTGCTCTTTCCCAATGCCAAATGATTGGTATTTATAGGGAATAGAGCCTTTGAAATCCCATCATCTTTCACTGTAGGATAGTTGGTAAAAATGCAAAATAGAATTTAATTTAATTCCAAATTAGATTAAATAGCCATGAAACAATAATCAAATGACAAGTGTAATCACACAAAGAGGGTGTAGGTGGGAGGACCACCTTGGCCTTAGAGAGCAAGGGAAGGGTTGCCCCACCTACTCGGTCAGCTCGGGCAGCTGCCCGACCTTGGGCAGCAAGGCCAGCCTTGCTAGCAGCCTTGCGCCACAAGGCCAGGCACGCTAGCCCATGGCCGCAAGCCCACGGCTGCTGTCGCAAGCCCACGTGCACACTCTGGCTTAATAGCAGCACCCATAAGCGAGCAATAGCAGCATAGGCCCAACAGCGGCTTCGCAAGCTTGGCTTGCTTGTTGGACTTGCTGGGCAGCCCCGACTTGGGGTGTTGTGGCGCGCAGGCCCACGAAGCATCCCCAGCCAGCCCCATACGCCACGGCCAGCCTAGCTGGGCCTTGTGGGGCTGCGATGGCTTGGTGCCTTGATGCTTGCGTCGCCTAGCCACTTGCCTTCGATCCTAGGCGTGGCTACGGCTCGTGCTATCCTCGTAATTTTTAGCACGATATATTATTTGATTATTTTTCTCGTCTTCGTCGATTCTTAAAATCGATTCGACGCACGACACTCGGTTTCGACGCTCTAAGCTCTGATTCGACTTCTTTGTTCGTAAAAACTCTATTGACTCATTTAATTCTTCGGATTAATTCGTCGCTTCGATTCGGTTACACGATTGGGTGTGACCCGAAGGGTTTAGTCAAGATTAAGCTATAATATTAATTATTCATTAATATTACTGATCGGAAGCAGCCTCTGGCTAGGCATTCCGATCACTTGACCTCACTGAATAATTAGCTTTCTAATTAATTCTGAACCCTCTATCGAAATAATACACTTGCTCGAAGGACACCATTCCTTTCAATCTCCCACTTGTCCTTCCAAACAAGTGTGCTAATTGTGTATAGCCCGTTTCCTATGTCACTTAATGTCTCTTCATGAACTATAAGGTAAGATTCTTCGTCATCCTTATTACATTCAGAAGTGTTTCTCGATTTCCGAATTCGACTGTCAATAAGCAGATGATTTCTAAAATCCATCTGAGCACGGCCATGCATTTTCACAGTCTCGCTCTTCGATAGGCCTTGTAAACAATAAAGACATGTTCCCTCTGTTAATAGGGGGACATTCCCAGTCTTGCATTGTCAGCTTCTCTTACTAAGAGGCCCTAGCCGCCCAACTGTTGCCTTTATGATCCCCTTGTACGGCAGACGTTTGACAACATCAAAGCGGACTAGTACTCAAACAAGAGAACTAACAATACTCATGGTTGAGGAAAGAGGTTCCGATAGCCGTAATGAGTAATATACTTATGACGATTGTATAATCTCTTAAAGTATTCTCATAGGTCGATCCGATATAGTTCCAAACTTATACCTGTGCAAATGATTTATGACAATTTTGTCCTTGTAGCACAAGAAACAATGCTATAAATCATACTACACACTAATCTCATGCGGTCATTAGTCGTCCAACTTTCAAAAGACCTCGATTAGGGATAATTTCAATATGATATTCAATGTTCACTTAATAGATGTTTCTTTATTCAAGACATGGCCTTGATACCCTGTTTTGAATATTCTCAAATCAAATGGACTGATTATTTAATTCTAAACCACAATCAAATAGAAATGAAATAATAATTTACAGAAAAATTAAATTACTCCATAAAAGAATGGTTTAACTTAGTGTTTTACATTAAGATCTCTACAACTTAATTAAAACACACAAATAGGGAAATCAAAGCCAATCTCCGATATGCCTGATTCCCATTGCCTCAACGTGCTTGTTGTATTTCACTTGAGGCAAAGGTTTAGTGAGTGGATCGGCTACATTGTCGTCCGTTCCAATCATGCAAATTTTGATTTCACCCTCGTACTTCCATTCCCTTATCATGTGAAATCGCATCATGACATGTTTGACTTCTGATGCTCTCTTGGCTCTCTAGCCTGAGCAATAGCCTCACTATTATCACAATAGAGGTCTATTGGTCCCTTTTATTAAGGGGACAACACCAAGTTCACAAACGAACTTACGAATCCAAACTGCGTCCTTAGCTGCTTTTGAAGCTGCCAAGTGTTCGGCTTCAGTTGTAGAATCTGCGGCCGTGCTTTTCTAGCACTCTTCCAACTGAACGCTCCTCCATTAAGACAGAACACGTATCTTGATGTGACTTGAAGTTGTCTTTGTCAGTCTGGAAGCTTACGTCGGTATAACCTTCAACAACCAAATCCTTACTCCAAGCATAGACCAGAAATTTATCCTTCTTCCTTTTCAAGTACTTTAGGATATTCTTGGCCGCAGTCCAATGCGCCTCTCTTGGGTCTGATTGGTATCGGCTCGTAGCACTCAAGGCATACGATACATCCGGCCTAGTACATATCATGGCATACATGATCGATCCAATAAGCGAAGCATATGGAATCTGACTCATCCTCTCTCGCTCATCAGGTGTCTTCGGACACTGTTTCTTGCTGAGACTTATGCCATGTGACATGGGTAGGTGACCTCTTTTGGCTTCCTCCATATTGAATCGTGCCGGTACCTTATCGATATAAGTACTT